AGAAATTATCTGAAATTACCACAATCATTGCTAACAAAATCTTCATCAGTATCAGAATCGAGAACACTAACAGAGTCAAACCACTCTTCTTCTTGGCATGTTCCTGCTAAATCGTTATAAATGAATATTTTGGGTGACATTTGCAATAATAAAAAGGGGAAAAGAAGAAACAAGAGAAAACTGTACCATTTATGCCAATTTCATTATGGTTATGTTGCAACTCAGAACGTTGGAAAGTTTGAACTTCAGACCTGCAGCAGATGGTTGTTTCGCCACTTTGAATGTCGAAAGAAGCCAATTCTTGGACAGAAAAGTCGCTTGCATAATTTTCTGCATCAGTAAGGGGTTTGACTGGTGCAACTGGAACTGATGGGGCAATTTTTTGACGAAATTTGCAAGACTTGTACAAGTACTTGGCATTTGATTTCACCTTTTGTTTTGGTTTTGAAACACAGCCCCCCATGAATGTGACTAATTTTCACAAAACCCAGCTACACATAACGCCTTCCTCATATCAGATACCAAAATTACAATAGATTCGCATACAAATCAAGAAAGCTTCAGCCTACAAGTAACCAAAAGGTAACACCAAATAAGTAAAATACCAAAAATTTGATTCATAAGCAAAACTAGATAAGAGAGCGTCCAATTTCCTGGGAGAAATAGCTCTAACAGGCAACAGAAACTACAGAAAAAGACCTGTTTTGCTACCAGTAAGGAAAAACTCGCACATTTTTCTTTCAACGTTGAAAAAAAATAATTGCAACATCGAATTTACATAAACGGATTATATTTAGGATGACGCTATTCAAACTTTGTCAGCCAATTATTATCAGCGGTGAGTAGCTGCTCAAATAGTAGCACTAAAAACTCACCAGTGAGAAAATCTGTATGACAACCTCAAATTTCCCTTGGCTAAAATACATAAGCATATTAGGGTCTAAATGGATTGATTAAAAGTATATTTGTACATGATTGAGAATGGATATTTAGCCATTTGAGTTCACTTATTTAAGTTTCCAATCCAGTAAGAGAAGATTGTATATCTGAAGCCAATACAGTACAAACTCTCAAAACGCTGACCAAGCTAACACAACAAAGGATTATAGCATTGGACTCTGTAAATAAAGGGCACATTCGATACACATAACTACATAAAACTAATCTTATCCCATACGGTCTAATTCTACAGACCGAGCGTCCCAAAAGGGACAAGTCATTATGGATCATAGCATCAACAGGCAATCAAATGGGGCGTTTGGGGAGGATCAGGTTGGCATTTGATCAAACTTGATTTCATGTTGTAGTTTCCTTCAACATTATACTTGTCAACCAGATAATTCAATCTAAATTACCTCAACATAAATGAAAAATAAAAACATTTTCTGTAGAAACTCTGATTTTAACACTTACAATTCAAAATAGAATCTGCAGAACAAGAATCCAGTATTAATGCTTCCTACCAGATATTTCAATCAAACTTCACTCATTTGATGCCCTCTGAAGATTAATTTGATCAGATATTTATGCAGATGACAAAGCTAAAACATAGAATATGTCATTTAAATACCCCATAACCTAAGTTTGACCTTGAATAAACTACCCACCAAAATCAAACAGTAGAACATGGTAGTAAAATATAATTATTTATGAATTAAGTGATTTCCCCCCCTCATTTTGCCTGTGAAATTTGGCCCTCTCCCACCTAAACAGAAAAAAAGTGAGTGAATAAATATCTTAACATGAAAAGGTTGAACAAAAAGAATTGTGATAATTGTCAAGAATTCTCCATAAAAGTCATAAAATTAGTCAAGAAAAGGACTTCAATGATTGGAGAACTAACCAATATAAAGAGGAAACAAAGAGTGGAATCAAGAACACAAATTAAATAAATACACAGCTATGGGTATTACCAGAAACCCACCCATAAATCAACAAATAAAGCTCTAACCACACTACCAAACAAGACCACCTAAAACACTATCAACACTATATATATACCGAAGGCTCATGCGAGCAATTTAGTCTGTCTAAAATTTGAACGAGTGATTCGATCATTAATAAGGGAGACGAGTCTGTATCCTTGTATATATGTTAATTATTATTTTCGCAAGCATTGTGGAATTGTATGAGTAATTACGCAAAGTGCAAACCCACCAAAAGCATACAGAAAGGAGAAAAATCTTTGAATAATAACAGCAATCACCAGTTACAGTCCTTAAAGAATCTTGATTGCATGCAGGGAAAAAAAGGAAGAGCAGCTAGTGTAAATAAAGGGTCAATAAAATGACAAATTATTTAATATGAATACAGTAACATAATTTTTTGTTAGGTGTGGAAACTGGAAAATACAAGAGAGTCTAAGAGACACTTGTCAAGTTTCAAGTGGAAATTCCCTCTACCCACTGTGAACTCAGGAGTATCTCGAATACTAACGTGAATTGCACTAAAAATTAATCATCTTGGTTTTATAAATTCTCAAACTGATAAAAAAATAAGTCATAGTTTATCGCGAGGATATAATATTTCATACGAGAAAATATATTTATTTCATAGTAAAAAAAAATTAATCTTGTTTTCCAAGTCGATTTGTCATATCAACTTTATGGTATTGAAAAACCAAAATTTTACTTGATTTTATTTATTTATAATTCAAACAAAAAAGAGACACTCAACTTAAGAGTTTTTGGCGGTATAAATCACCTCCACCAAGTCTGTTCTGAAAATTCTCACACGATATTGAAACTAAATCATTTGACTATTAACAAAATCTTACTTCACCTTCCACCTCTATTATTTTGAACTCGTCTTCTTACAAATTCATGGTTTTCTGATTTTCAAACTTTGGCACATTAGGCCAAAACCCAATGTTTGGCTGCCCCAGGGACTAGATTTTACCTAACAGTGTGAAAACTAAATCAATCATGGTACGTAAACAGGTTCAAAAACATGGGGGATACGTGTCGACACATGATTTGACAGTTTGAAAAA